AAAAATCCTCGCACAGGGCTAACTGGCGCGCTGTTCTTTTGATGTGTCTGACCCCTACGTTAAGACGAACGTTACCAGAAAAAAAACAAATGATAAACAGTTTGATGGCGGTTTACGTTCGGATAAAATATCTTCTCTAAATTATTTTAATTACATCTGTGATTAACGTAAACCATATGGGGCAATATGAACGTCGCATTTCTACTACCAACGTAAGTTTAGATCAGTACATCCAGATAATGCCGAGTAGTCAAGCGACATTCCACGATTGCATTGTGGGAATGTAAACATTGCGATCTTTACCGTCTCGCTGTAAAATTGGTGGTCGAACTGAGACATTTTATGCGCCGGAAAACATACACGTAATGTTTCCACCAGTGATGTTAGCTGAGTGAAGCTGCAAACCAAGAAACGGGATGCAACGGAGTAGTTTACTGCTAGGAGGCTGTACGAGGCGATGACATCTGACATGCGTCGTGACGTCGCTTACATTGTGACGTAAGGCATGTAACAAAGTAAGAGACAACACCAGAAGTACAAGGAGATGGATGTTTTATTCCAAGTAGGACGTCTGTCGCATCATAAGCCCAGAGTGGCTATCAGGACCAGGTCTGCGCCACTGGGGAAGAATGTCCCTGCGTCCAAGCTGGCGGAGGTGTGCACCCGACTGCTGCTGAGACTGTGTCTGCTTAAAGCTCGGAGTCCTGGGTTTATATATGCTTCATGTGCCCTTGACTTGTCAACAAGGGTCAGGCATAAGTCATCGTTTCTCCCCAGTTATCTTGTGGTCACTCGGTGGGTAAACAACGTGTTTGTCGTCATATCTCTGGCCGCTGTCATCGCTGCATTTAAGAAGGTCTTCTGCTTGTTCTGCGTTTTAAGAGGATACTCAAGAACCCTTTCAAGAGCCCTTCCCCACTCATGCTGTGGTCACTCGGTGGTAAATCACTCGGAGGTAAATCACTCGGTGGGTAAACAACTTGTTCGCTTTCCTGTCCCTGACCGCTGCTATCACTGACCACATGGTCCGCTGGGCTGACTTTGTTGCATGCAAAAGTGTTCGATTACGAGAGGACAGACTAGAATGGCGCAGTGACGCCAATACATTGTGACGCAATGCAAAAAGTGCACATTATCGTCTGATAAAGTACTGTCGGCACCTTTGATCTTTCACCGAAGCATATTAGAATATGATTTAGATCATGTTCTAAAGCATTCACTATCTATAGATAATGACCAGTTATTCACTAAGAAAATGATATACTTATAATTACACTTTGTGAAACTTTTGCAACTATTAATTCCAATTCAGACAATGGGGCACATGACAATAATTCTTAATTCTAATTTCTATTCAGGAGCTCAGTACTGCTCTTGGAAAAGCTGACAATTTTAGACAGTTATTGGAACTGATAACATGCAAGATCAACTGCTGAAACACTTACCAGAATCGACCAGAGACCCGATAAAATATCTTTGATTATATCTTTATCATGGCATAATGCTATAATTCACCAAATACCTAAACGTGGGTGTGATCAGACGGATTTTTCAATTATGGACAGTTTCAATAACACGCTGCGTTTGCAAATCCAAGGCATGCAGGACAAATAATCGATAAATTGGTACTAATAATTGGTGTGATCAGACGGATTTTTCAATATGGACAGTTTCAATAACACGCTGCGTTTGCAAATCCACGGCATGCAGGACAAATACTAGTAATCGATAATTTGGAACTAATAATTGATGTTAACTGGCATACAGTGGACCATCAGGAAATAACTGGAACACCTAGACTTCGCAGACGACATCAGCCTTCTCTCCCACAGGCAGCAAGACGCACAAGAGAAGCTATGCTGAGTTGCAGAAGAAGCGGAGAAGACTGGCCTCCATATCAACATCGGGAAGACGGAGGTCATGAGGGTGAACAACAAAAAACAAGACCCAGTGCAACTACATCAAGAAAACATCAAGGAAATCCACAGGTTTGTTTACCTGGGCAGTGTCGTCAGTAAAGATTGGGGGACAGACGAAGACATCAAGTGCTGAATCAACAAAGCCCGTCACGCCTTCAACACTCTCCGGCCAATCTGGAGATCAACAGTCCTCTCACTCCACAACAAGATCCGGATCTTCAACACCAACGTCAAGTCGGTCCTACTTTACGGCTCAGAGACCTGGCGGGTAACCAACAGATGCCTCAGGAATATCCTCAACATCAGGTGGCCAGAAGTTGTCTCCAACGTCCAACTGTGGGACAGGACCAGACACGCCCCAATCGTGTCCGAGATCAAGATAAGGAAATGGGGATGGATTGGCCATACCCTCCGCAAGCCTGCCTCTAATGTCACCCGTCAGGCCCTAGACTTGAATCCACAAGGGAAGCGGAAAGTAGGTCTACCAAATCAGACTTGGCACAGAAGCATCGACAGCCGGAACGACGTGGGCCGAACTGAAGAAGATCTCCCAGAACCGCGTCCTTTGGAAGGGTGTTGTTGCGGCCCTTTGTTCCCCGAGGAATCAAGAGGCGTAAGTCAAGTAAGTCAATTGGTGTTAAGAAACCAAAATCTAACAACAAATACACAATGTGGTTTCCATAAAAGCAGAAGTAGGGTTGATTAAGTATTGCGTTTGGAATCATTTGTCCGAAAATGCCACTGTTCACAAACAACATGCACCAATCTAGAAAAGGCACTTCATGGAAATACTCTATTCTAAAGACCTACAGCCAACGATTGAGATTTTAATTCTCTCTCCGATGAATACAATGAAGCGCATGCTACAATAAAGCATGCCCTTAGTAATATCCTTGGAATAGATAGTACTTAATAATATAGCCCCCACCAATTGTTTTCCTAACCACCAATTAGTAAAGGTAGAGGGGCATTTAATATCAACAAAGTATAGGGGAATCTGAAACAAATTTACATACTCATCAACAAGAATATATAGAGGATATTATATGAGTGCCCATGTCATACTATTTTTACGACACGAGTGCCTAAATGTTGGTATACCGATATTTAGGCACGAGTATGACATTGTATGATATGGGCACGAATATAATATTCTGTTTATTACCGAAGTCGTCAAATTGAGGAAAATAACCCAAATCTACTTTCAAACAGGCTGGCTACCCGCCGTCGCCGCATGTAGAACGCAACGTCACAGAAGAAACGTAACGTCATAGCATTGTTCATGACGTCACGTCACCATGACAAAGTGATATTTTGCCCTAGGGCATCGTATGAAAAGTATGAACCCCGATTTGTTCGCCCTCGTAGGTAATAAATTCAAATAAGAAATACATATCGTACTTACAAATTTATGTTTACAAATACATCCAAGGATGAGGGCGCTGCAGCCAGAGCCACCATCATTGGATCCAGAACTATATCATCAAGATTACCAGCACTCTTTTCACGACCGAAAAAAAGTTTAAAAAACAGCACCAATATAGATTAATAATTAATTAGAACATAAAAAATACTTTCATATTTTTTCAGACTCTTTGTTTCTTCAAAAGCAGAACTGGACCGCCTCCGTGGTGTAGTGGTTAGAGCGTCCGCCCGGAGAGCGGAAGGTCGCGGGTTCGATCCCCGACTGCGTCATACCAAAAGACGTTAAAATATGGTACTTGTTGGTCCCTGCCTGGCGCTCGGCATTAATGGGTACAACAAGGACTGGTCGCCTCGGAGTCAATATAATGTGTCTGAGTGGGGTATCTCAGTGGGCTAGCACTATAAAACCAGCTTCAGTCTGGGCTAGTACAAGCAGCCGCATATACACATACACACGCATGCACGTCGTCATATGAACGAAATATTCTCAAGGACGACGTAAAACCCAATTTCACCTCACCTCACCTGAAAAGCAGAACTCACCGAATCTGGGACACAGATTCTGATGCCTTATAGCAGTTACAAGCCTGTGATCAGATAGTTGGGGAAGGGGAAACCCAAGCTGGTATCAATAAGTTACCTGAGATTCAACTATCGATTACATCTACTTGGGTTTCTCTATTTTCTCATATTCGACTTTCAAGATTTTCTGATGAATCTGATGAAAGGTGAGGGGCCAACATTTAGAATCCCTTGTCTCCATACCCTCTAGCTAGTAAAGACGCCGTTTGAATATAATATATAGTTTCAGGAACAGTTACGTATGAATATGGTTTCACACTAGTTAGTTTTACATACTTATCAATGATATTCTAGGTGGTGTAATGTCCGTTGTCATCATTTTATGAAGCCAAAATCCAATCAATCAATCTTTATTCGATACTCAAAGTGAGTGAGTGAGTTTAGTTTTACGCCGCACTCAGCAATATTCCAGCTATATGGCGGCGGTCTGTAAATAATCGAGCCTGGCCAAGACAATCCAGGGATCAACAGCATGAGCATTGATCTACGCAAGTGGGACCCGATTACATGTGTCAACCGAGTCAGCGAGCCTGACCACACGATTCCGTTAGTCACCTCTTACGACAAACATGGGTTACTGAAGATCAATATTCTAACCCTGACCTTCACGGGTCCAATACTCAGCGGCCAAAGGCGTATAGTACAATATATATTAGTACAATTTAGAGCAGTTTTATATATGATATTGATAATATGCTTTCATACAATTATGACGTTCAGGCGATGCTCGTTGGTAATTATTCTTTTCTGAGTTTCATAGCGTGATATATGTAAATAGCATAAACATTCTGAATCATATCATGGCTGTTGCAGTGAATCAAGAATCAAATTTATCTATAGATGGATGACCATAATAAAAGGCTTTAATGTACATTCTACGTAGCTTATCATATAATGGACATACGTGCAAAAATAGTATTCATTTTCTAAGTATTTTTTTTCCAAGTATTTTAAGTCAAAATGCCTTATTAATAAAATGCTTAAATTGTTCTAAACATTATTTGGATGATTTATTTTCAAATACCAGTGTGAATTTACTTTTCAACTCATTCAGTTCTGACAGTTTAAGATCACCTGCATAGTACTGCCAGCCCGAGTCTTCAGTTCCTCCTGTGTTGACGAACGACTTGTACAGGCGGCATCGTTTGGACGTTGGGTTGTACAACAGCATGTTACAAAGGGAGTGAAGGTGGCAACGTCCCGCGCACAATAACAGTCTACCTTCGACATGCTCAGAGACAAAAGCTTCGGTAAACAACAGACCGTCCAAACTTACATGACGCCGAAGATGAAGTCCGTAAAATGATGAAAAGACAGATATTGGTTGACACAACACAAGAGTCAACACATAGAACTGCTCTTTGTACATCGTGATCCTCATCTGATACATGACCGGGGGAAGCCACAGCAAAGACTGACATCAGTGTCAAAGAATTTACATAGCCACTGCACTTATCGTCCAGAGGACTAAGTGAATAAAACAAGCGTACAATATACGGCATCAACGACCCATGCACAAATGTGTAGTGTTTTTTCCAGAAGGATCCCCCTATCGGAGTACAACTGCCTGAACACAAACGTCCGTGCTAAACAGAATTATTCATCACGGCAATTATGTACCCTATTGATGTACTGGCGCGTCCGTTATCGCGTCGTAGGTTTTGTTTCCGAATCAGTAAACACCTTTGCACATAACAACACTCCTGTCTGAAGGTACCAGGTACACCCAACATTCTCCTCTATATAAGTATAGAGGGCATACATTCAAATGTTTTCAAACGTCTTCTTCATCTCCACAGTAATACAACATTTAACATCACATCGTTTCAAGTATAGATAGTGACAGGGCCCAATTCCCAAGCGAATTACAGATACAAAAGAATATCCAACAGCCCATTCGTTGTTCCCTCTCAAGTGTGTTATTCTTATTGACAACTATTTAACAAACAGGCGTCAAGCCATTAGTCAGGCCAAAATGTACTGATCTCCTCAAAATTAGGGACAATGTGTTTTCGACAGATCGTGTAATGGTAATATTAGTGATGGTCCGCTAATATGGCGCTCATATCCAGACACATTGCCTGCTCACGGCGCTACGTACATTACTACCCCCGGACATAGACACTTTCGTACCTTCCGATACTTTTTCAACTCCCTGTGGGTCATACAGCCATGCTGCCTGTTAGGCGCAATGAACTAAACAATCACATTGCCAGCACATACTCACGGGTACCCATTTTACAGCTGGGTGAACTGAGACAATGACAGTACTGAAACAAATGACAAGTACTTTGAAATTTGTTTCCGATGTGAATGTAATGTTATGTTCAGTTCGAGTAGCCTTGGTATTATCATAGAATGGCGTTTCTGTTCAGACACGATTTTAGAATCAAATATAGTTGCAAGCAACGATATGGGCTCCTTGGCTTTAGTTCTATCTATTGTATTTGAGGGCTGGAAATCATCCTCCAGAACGGAGCCAGAACACGTTTTTGACAGGCGAGCGGAACTTCTAAATACAGCCGGGGTCGCGGGGGTCATGTACCTTTTTTGAAGAAGTTCTGGAGAAGAAATAGTTCCCTCTTTAAAAGGCTGTATCTCAGTTGTTCTTGGGTCTACAGTCAAAACAATTAGTGTTCTGGTTTTACCAAGCCTTCATCTACCATACTGGCAGAATGTGCACATTTGGTGAGCAAACTACTCAGAAAACTGATGAAAAACATGGCCAAAAACTGAAAACAAAAATACCTGCCAAACATTGAGAAAGGTGGTAGCATTTCGTTGAATCCCGAGACAGCAATAGAACAAGCGTAATGAAAAGGCAACGCACGCACCCAGCAGAAAATTGGTACACTGAGGGACAAGTCATATGGCAACTAACGTTCTAGCGCCTCACGTTCAGCTTGGGTTATCAGGGGTTATAATGTCCATCATGTTGAATGTGCTTTAGTACGACATAATTATGTTTGTTCATATTGTAAAAAGAAGTCACATAAAGCCTTAAGAAGAGAGAAAGTAGTAAACACAACGTGGGTTTATGGCATCAGGACAAAACGTAACAAACATTAGATATGTACACACAAGGCCGCCCGTTTTCTGGGAACTGATTATGGCACGGATTTCCAAATTCATTCGTGAGTAAGTGTAAGATTTCAGTTCTCAGACAACACTTCCACAAGGCGGGAGGAAAGACTTTATATGACGTTGACATAATAATCTTTTCCTAGCTGATGTGACTGCCAAAGACTGTGAAGGTTGTGAAGATTTATCTTGCAAATGAAATACAGAACGTAACAGATCTTAGTTAACATACTTACTTGAGCCTGGGAACTGAAGAACCATGACTTGCCATCAAAGAGATAGATGTGTTCAGTGTTCTGATATATTCACGGCGTCATTAATGAAGGGTCACTCTACTGGTAACTCTATTTCTTAAATGGCCACTGATCCAGAGCGATTAATGCTTCTCGCCAACAGTCTAATTACGAAACCAAGCTGCAGGCTGGTGGGTACCTGCTCATTCGACCGTGACGGGCGCGGGGACTGGGCTACTGTCCACCATGGCAGAGTTTCTTCTGAGACATTAGGAAGGGTGGATGCACGTTATTTGAAAATATCCCCAGTAGTTATTATCTGGTTGTAATATAAAATACCAGCAGTGTAAACATTTCAGATTTTCTAATGCCTGGATGGTATAATGACTGATCCAACTTGATCCTAATTCCGTGTTTTTTACCTCGATATTCAATCATGTCATTTTATAATATGATGTTTATTACCTAGGCTATGATAATAAAAACACACTTTATATAATTTGATGTATTTGAATCCGTAAACTTAACAACCCCACCTAGCCATTTCTAAAAAAATCTAAAATTTAATTAGGTAAATAGGTATATACAGTAAATGCATATATGTATTTCTTACGCAACAATGCAGTTCCGTTTGTATCCTCAAAACAGTGTCGGCCTATAAGTTTTTGTCAGGCATTCAAAATTGCATGCAATACAGCGATTACTACTCCCTTTCTGTAACTCGTGTTTGGTGGTTAACCTACACGTTATTTGTCATCATTAACTTGATGGTCAGTTAAGGAATTTACAACAGGTATAATTAGTGGTAACACCACTCAGATTACCCGACAAAGGTTCCCATTTGGCATTTCTCGTGTCTGGAGTAAATACTCAACATCATAAATTAAGGTCTGATGTGTCAAATGTATTACATCTTATGTAATATGCGCATGGAAGTGCAGCAAGAGGGATTAACAGCTGAGTTACAAAAACTCAGTGTTCGCGTTAATGCAGAAACCTGTGTTTTTCACGCAAAAAATTCATAAAAACACGCAAAAATATTGAGCGTGCGTGTTTTGCACGCACAGATTCTGATCTACTAAATATTAAAAAGTACCTTAAAACAGCAATTAAAGTGATAGAGTCACATCAGCCATATCGTGACGAGAACAAGTTAATTTATAATATATCAATATTAAAATCAATAAATTTGCACAAATTTGCCCAAATGGTCTAATGAATTTCTGAGGTTTACGACAAACCTCGTCAACCTATGGGAATGTCATGTTTTGCACAGCGTGTGAAAAAGCCAGCATGCCAATACCATTAGAAGAGTGAGTGAGTGAGTTAAGATTTATAGTCACATCGGCAATATTTCAGCCATATCATGACTTTAACAAATTACAAATTCATAATAAATGCAATTAAATCATAGAAACAAACTCTCGACGAAGTGCAATAAAATAACTAGATTATCCCAGATAGAGAATTAAGTGAGTGAGTGAGTGAGTTTAGATTTACGCCGCACTCAGCAATATTCGAGCTATATGGCGGCGGTCTGTAAATGTTCGAGTCTGGACCAGACAATCCAGTGATCAGCAGCACGAGCATTGATCTTCGCAATTGGAAACAAATGACATGTATGCACGGGTATGTCCGTTTGTGCACGCACACGTACAAAACCTACTGCGAACAGTTTAGGCCTTTCCAGTTTATTCTGAACCAGACCATTGTAGAAAGATCTTGAAGCTGTTCTTTAGATATATAAGGGCAATAACGTTTTATTGAGAAAAGGAGGGGTGCACACTTCATTTTGACCCGAGTTTCAATGGCCATTTAATAAACTTTCAGGACAGAAGGGGGGACTGCGTACCCATGCTACTCCCCCCCCCCCTTTTCCGTGCTTGAGAATATTGCGCTCATATGACGACGTGCATGCGTGTGTATGTGTATGTGCGGCTGCTTGTACTAGCCCTGACTGAAGCTGGTTTTATAGTGCTAGCCCACTGAGATACCATGCCGCAGTGAAGCATGAATACCCCACTCAGACACATTATACTGACTCCGAGCCGACCAGTCCTTGTGGTACCCATTAATGCCGAGCGCCAGGCAGGGACCAACAAGTACCATATTTTAACGTCTTTTGGTATGACGCAGTCGGGGTTTGAACCCGCGACCTTCCGCGCTCCGGGCGGACGCTCTAACCACTACCCCACGGAGGCGGTCCCGCGGTAAAGCTGGAGCATGACACATACTGAAGCAGTAGAAGTGTTGCCATTTGTAACCGATGCGGTGGAATCTTTGGCAGATTTACATGTAGACGTCTTGGCAGCAGACATCGATGCGACCGAATCCCTGACAGTTACGTCCTTAAGTGTGTTGTCATTCACATTCATTCGTGGTCTTTCGACTGGTACCTCCTGTTTTACATATACTGTAATTTGCAACAACAAAATAATAATGATGACTGATAAAAATGCCCGAAAATATAAACTTGTGTTTTGAAACACGCACGCACGCACGCACGCACGCACGCGCACACATGCACACGGAAAGACAAATAGCAAATACTAGTACATAAATACATCTGTACATAGTCTAGTCTGGGCCAGATAATCCAATGATTCATATCATGTGCATCGATGCCACGATGTCAACGAAGTCAGCGAGCCTGACATTCCGATCCCATTTGTTCCCTGCGAGTATCTCCGTCAACAGTGGTGGTTCTTGACGAGTCCAAGGCATGTGACATCCAGTTTGTTGGAGATATTTTGACTAACATGCATCGCAAATTGATGCATTTTGGAGATCCGGAGTAGTTATGTATTAAAAAGTGGGGAATCAAACCCTGGGTCTTCACCTTGACCACGGACCACCTCATGCCTTTAGTCGCCACTTAAAACATGTATGGGTAGCTGAAGACCAAATCTAAACAGGCGTTTGCTGAATATCAATAGTGAATATATTAGGGTAACTTCTGTTTTTCTCATTACCCGATTGTCTGACCAAAAAATGAAAAAGGACGAATACCTGGAGGAAATCTCGATTGTAGGCCCGCTGGCTTAATTACAGCGCACCAGTGGAAGTGACAGAGGGGAATAAATTAGGTGTGAGAAGGAACGCTGATCTCGTAAAACCTCTTGCAAATGTAAATGCACTTTTACACGAAAAATTAAGATTTTCCACAGCGTAGCAAAGTCCAACTCACTATTAGGGATCCATTTGTCTACTTAGCTTGCACGTTGGCTGACGTTTTGGAAATGCGAGGAAAGATCAGGGTAGTTTGCGTTCGTGAATTTACATGTGAGTGAGTGAGTTGGGTTTTACGTCGCTTTTAGCAATATTCCACCAATATCACAGCGGGGAACACCAGAAATGGGCTTCACACATTGTACCCTTGTGCGGAATCGAATCCGGGTCTTCGGCGTGTCGAGCGAACGCTTTAACCACCAGGTTACCCCACCGCCCCGAATTTACATATGTAATACTGACAGAAGTATCATTAACAGAAGCCAGTACGTATTTTCCTTTAGTTATAATTATTGTATTGTAATTTCATAAACATATTAATGATTTAATTTTTTGACAAAAAGACTGCAAAATATTGCTTAACGAAAATGGGTTATATCTATATTCAAGGTATGCACACGTCGTTTGAAGGAATTCTCAGTCTTTGAATTGTTTTAGATCGTTTGATTGACAGGACGTTGATGTATAACGACTTCTCCAGGTGCGTGCTACTCTCAAACCTTGTGATCACAAGAATTCTGCTGTGTGCTCTCTTTCATTAGCTATTTTTTTAACATAAACCGTGCCATGTACCCACTGTAGAACCTTCAGATTATCCGGATGATTCCATATGAAAGGAACCTTTTTCGCATCTTTTTGTATGCTTGAGAGTCTGTATTTTCGGGTTGCCCAAAGGATTGTGATGAGTGATTCCTGTGCGTTTTGTACCCGGGTTAAATAATCCGTCTCTCTAAATGTGGGACCACTTTGGCCAGTGTTCATACATGTATATATAAGTTACTGGTGTGTTTTTCATATACTTCGGAGGAGAGTGTTATATTTAATTTTAGAATATTAGTTTAGGTGTGAAGATACTGGATGGGCTGCTGTATCGTTTAGCTTATTTAAGAGTTTGTCAGGCGTCACATTCAGAGGAAGTGACGGATCTGTGTGTGAAGTTGACGGATGCTATGAACATATTTGCAGGCTGAATACTGGTAAAGAGCATGTTTTGGGGAACAGGCAAGACTTCTTCGGAGTACGAAAACAAGGGAATCGGAGAACCAAGCCGGACCTACATGGCATTTAGTGGCACAATACTTGGGGAGGACTGTGGCACTGACGGGGAATGCGTTTCTCGTAATGCGTTTCTCGTAATGCGTTTCTCGTAACTTACTGGAACGGCCGCCCTGCAAGAAGCGGCTTCATTTGTGAAGTCATTGACTGATACTGTGTACCATTCAGAGCTTGGAGGATTCTGGATTTCTTCTGAGATGTGAATGTTTTCATTTATCGTTTATTTTTTAATGTTTATTATTTTCACACATTTGGTGTGTGTGTTCTCAGCAAATAGATCATTTACTGCTTTAATGTCATTGAAAATATTTAAATTTCCTTTACCCATGCTTATCTGCTGTAACGAGATTAAAGGATTACTGTCAAGCATATTTTGACGAAGTGCGTGATGTTTGAGATCACTAGGGATTTGGTCAAGTGGGGAAACCTGTATTTCTTTGCGTGCATGGTTCGTGTGCAGCTGACGATATACACTCGTCCTTACAAACAACAGTTAGTTAAGCACAAGGACCCGTCAAGATCCGGGTAAGAATTGATCTTCAGTAACCTATGCTTATCGTAATAGGCGACTTACGGGATCGGGTAGTCAGGCTCGCTGACTTGGTTGACACATGTCATCGTATCCCAATTGCGTAGATCGATGCTCATGCTGTTGATCACTGAATTGTCTGGTCCAAACGCGATTAATACAGACCGCCATCATATAGCTGGAATATTGCTAAAAGCGACGAAACTCACTCACTCAGTTAAGCACAAGAAGGTGAAACGAAGATGGAAGAATCAGTGTCATGCATATATTGCTGCAAGGCACATACAAAGGATTCGCGTCGAAAATACGCCGAAAACAATGTGTGATGTCCATTTCTGGTCTCCCCCGCCGTAAAACTAAACTCACTCACACAATCACTCACTGAAGGGACGAGAGCTTTCAACTTTAGACACAGAATTATGGCCCCTCAGATGATTACAGCGCGCGCTCGTCACGCCAAATGCCCAGGTTCAGTTCTCCACTGATTTGGGGGGCGGTGGGGTAGTCTAGTAGTTAAAGTGTTGGCTCGTCACGCCGAAGACCCGGGTTCGAATCCCCACATGGGTACAATGAGTGAAGCCCATTTCTAGTGTCCCCCGCCGCGATATTGCTGGAATATTGCTAAAAGCGGCGTAAAACCAAACTCAGTCAGTCAGTCCACAAGTTGATCAGTATCAACAAATGGAATCCATGTTTCTAAACAAGAGACACAATAAAAAAATAGTTTTGTACATTTTAAATTCATCTAGATTTAATTTCGACAAAAGTCGAACCTCTGGGTTCCGCGAGTAGCTGATTGTCTCCCCTTGTTAGCGTTGCGTCCCAGCGCCCTACTGGCCAGTGTTCGTCGAGTTTCAGTTGGTCAAGACTCACTAGGCGCTAGACCCTGCACATCAGGAACACGATCACAATCACGCTCACAATCACCACTAATTTGCAGTGTGCGAAATAGTCACTGGGATGTATACTCATACTGCCTACAGTTCCAAACTGCCTACAGGTTAAAACAACATGATGAGGTCCAGTGATCTGGAAGTGAAGTTAATGGGAATACACCGATCTGACCTGTTCTACCCCTCCTAAAATGAACTTAACCAGGTAACTTGGTTCTATCCTGTCTTTCCGGTGTCCTCCCATTTGTGAGAACTCCCAGTTGTGAGACACATGAATTAATGGTTGAGTGCACCTGGGCAGTGTTTCCACATCCCTACACTGAAAGTGGGAACAACCCTGTTGTTGAATAGTACCCACAGGAGACATGGTTCATTGATGAGTTAATTAACACAGAAGACATTGTTCGTTAAAGGTTAAAGAGCGTTTATTGTTTTCAATAAAAAACATCGATAGATACAGAAATAATGAAATAGATTATAAAAGATATGAAGCAGGTAGGTCGACATCGGTACTTGCTGATCGAAAAGAGCAGACAAAGGTTAATAAATACATTATATTTATTATAATTAAGTTATTAAGTTAAAAACAGTTATTGTTATATTATTTAAACACGTAAATCTGAGTAGGTATATATGTTTCTCTTTCAAATGATCACGTTTCCTACACAAAGTGTTTATCTTTTTAGAGACATTTACTTGAGTAGGTTATTAACGTATCTTTAAAGTCTCATTAAGTTACCTCCAGAGGAGCGCATGAATGATCTGTAGCCAGTTTGAAGAATATGAAGCAATCAGATTTTATGACTTACGGTGAATTAGGTAGATACCTAATTCAAACCACAATTTAGAACTTCAAACCACAGTTTACCCATTGAAACATGACGTTGGTACGGGTTTTTTCATCGCGTTATTTTTCAACTTTATAAGTTGAATTTGCATTGTTAATGATTTGTTTCGGTAAATCCATACCGAAAGGTATCATAATCTGCAAAGTTATGTTTTACGTTGCATGTGATCTTTAACTTTTTAAATCAGTTCTCTCTTTTTATCAAGTTCATTTTTTAGCCTTTATATATTTATCATTATTCACTTAATAAATATGTCTTTAAGCATGGTGTGGTTAATTTGTTTTTTGTTCCCTTCATTTCTTAATAAGTGTACTACTACGTCGCCGAAATACCTTAATTAACGGATCGCCAGTGGCGAGTTAACCACGCCCCAAAAAGAAAGGGAGATAACTCTCAAAAGGTCCGACAACATAGCTGTCAAAACCAACTGTCAAAATGGCAGTCGTGATATCGTTTAGAGACATTCCCGATGATATTGGCCCGAAACATTTGCCTTATGAACCTACTTTGCGGCAAAAACGACGTGGAGTGGCTTTTAGTTCTGCCTCATACCTTCATTCCGTTACTTTCCATTCATGTTGTGATAATATCGTGTCGATTTGCGGGAGGATTTATAGAAGTCAACGGAAAACCGAAGCTCCTCATGTCATCAACTTGTCCCTTGACAGAATTCACAACTCGTTCACTGACGCCCATTGCAGCTGCAAATGTGGGTGAGCAGTACACGTAATACTTTCGGGAGCCTTTCCAATTTATCGCATAAATCTGTTGGGGTTTTATAAGCGGCATATACAGATATCAAATCAATTACACGTCTGTGTGCCGGCCATTTCAGTTGTTGACAATGAAACCCATGTTATCCCATATAATTACGTTAAATTTCTATCATCGTGTTAGAAACAGATTCTGTAATAAATGTAAGACGTAAATGTAATATCTGTTATTAGGCATTGCGGGAATAAAACCATGTATTTTCTTCTCAATTATATTATATATTATATATTCCTGCTGTCAATCAAAGTTCTGTAACAAATGTATTCACATTATTCTCTTTAGTGCAAGTGGAAAGTGTTCCCATGTACTGGCACTTGTCCTGATACTGGAAGGCTGGAAGATATCAGGCTATCAAGCCATTCCTTCACAGCCCTCTTCCACTAGCCTGCCTCAGCAGTGGGATAAACCAATGGGACCAGAGATTGAATCTGAAGCAGTGTCACAGATAATTATTGCCAGGCCTGGAAATCTTAATAGGAAAAGGAGACCTGTGATGGCCACATTCGATGACAACAGGTGATGTTATTATATACTTAAAGTTTTATTTCAGATTCTGAACTTGTTTTATGAAAATGATGTATCATAATGCAAGCATTACCTATATGACATGTTTACTCCATGATCATCAGATATTTCCAAGGTAGAAAATACTCATCACAGTTTATAAAGCAATATCAGATGACTATTGAGCAGTTGTTTGCATAAATATTACAGTTCAGTTAAGTGAACAAGGAACAAGAGCACGTACAAAATATTCATTGACATTGCAAGTTTTTAACATACACAAATACAATATTTGTGACTAATACTTTTTGTACTTGCAGGAAAGTTCAAATACAGGAGTCTGACAATTTTGAATGTTTGTACCCTTCCAATGGCATTTTCGACCACCACTCTGTGTGTTGCAATTTTCACTGTTTCTGCCACATCAGACACACACATCTGACCTATACCTGGTGCAAAAGGGGGAATGTTGAGGCGTAATCCAGTAGCCCTTATAGTGGGGCAGTTAAGGCCAGGATTTTGTCCAAATTGTGCACTTTGGGTAAAAAGCACCAAACTTGGCACCCTGATACATTGAACAATTCTAAACATTTCTGGATGTGGATCCACCTCAGTAGTGCCCCCTGGTGGCCGAAAATCCAAGATGGCCGCCAGTTTGACTGAAATCTATAACTATGTCAGCCCATGCTCAACATATCATAATTATCTTGTCATATTCAGTATTTTATTACTGAATTGTCTTCATAGTGCTGTATGCAATTAACATCTAGCATGTAGCGCCCCCTGGTGATGACAAAATTCCAAGATGGCTGCCAATTTAGATTTCTATAGAATGTTTAAAATGTTTGTACACAATGTCAGTATTATTTGTTGAGATCAGTTTAATTTAGGATATAAAAAATTCCTTGTTACTGAATGTTCTAGCTATTAATACCAAAATGATTTTCCTTGTACATTTAAAGTATTACTTTTTGTTATTTATAAAATAATTAACACATGATTAACATGATGAATACAGTATTGATCAAGGATATTATGTTCCACAGTGTTTATTGTTTTATAGCTATGGATTTTAAAATATATTCTGTTAATACACATATGTGTATGGCATTTGTAAATGAGATCAGCACTTTTGCAAGTAGTATCGGAATGTTCTCCTTTGAACAATCTAAGATGGCTGCTTGTAGCAGTCAATGCATTTTGGAGAGCATTCTTGTGATGGATATTTCATTAATGAGGCACCCAAAGGTTGAATGGGAGGGAACATCAAACAAAGTTCAACATGCTGGAAAAAATAGGAAGATCATTGTCAAGCTGCCGTTTGTCTATACCAGTGTACCCCCATTATGTTTTACCAAGACGGATCATTATGTGCTGCCTTTGAAATGACCTTTTACTCAAGATGAACATTGTGTTAACACAATACTTGATCATGAGAACTAGGTAATAATGATGTTTTCCTCTCATGGGCAGCATACAATGCACTAACAGACCCTCCAACAACAATTGCGCTTATGCCACTGTTTTTAGAATGTGCACACTCTGTTGCTACGATACAACATTCAATGAATGTGGCAAAGAAAGCTGTTGAGCAGTTACACCCAAGTCATCTACCTGTATGCAAATGCTAAAACAATCCAGTGGAATTTCCCGGAATCATATGGTGATGCCAGTTTCCTTATATTAGGTTTGGTGGATTGGGTAGTGAAATAGCTGCGTTCAGGATCCTCGGATTTGATGGACAACTGCAATTTGCGTAGCTGGGTTTGCTGATTCCTTCGTCAAGTGTACCCACCTTGCTAGAACAAGAAAGGTCCATCAGATCACATCCGCTACACAGAACCAAACAAAGAAGACGTTTTGACTTTTAGAAGTTGGTGTGATGCAAAGTCAGCTTCTCAATCCTAGTTTCAGTATTGGTCCTTTGTTCCTGAACTTGAACTTTGCATATTGTGCCTGGTGGGTGCAATTCGAAAAGCAGATTCCCCAAAGTATGTAGCATCACTTGTCAGAGTAATACCATGAGTCTTTATGTTAGATAATGTCATCTTTGCACGTTCGTTTTCAGTTCACATCAGAAACATGTCTTCCTTATCAGTGGAACAGTCGGCACTGTACCACACACTTTGTTCTGGTGGATTTGTAGAACATAAAACTAAACGACCATTCCCTGCCATGGTACTAGATCAGGCTCATGAAGAAATCAATGCTCTTGTGTAAGGAGATGGAGGGACAGTTGGACTGACAGAAAACCCATCAGGATGGGTGGTTGCAGGACCAGAAGCAAGAGTTTTGTAAAAGAAAGGTTCATAGACAGATCAAAACCAATAAAGGAACCAATAAGAAAGAGCAAGCTGCCACTGTTTTTAGGACTGGGGCGGTGGGGTAGCCTAGTGGTTAAAGCGTTGGCTTGTCACGCCCAAGACCCGGGTTCGAATCCCCACATGGGAACAATGTGTGAAGCCCATTTCTGGTGCCCCCCGCCGTGATGATGCTGGAATATTGCTAAAAGCAGGGTAAAACCAAACTCAGTCAGTCAGTTTTTAAGACTGAAGACTCTTCGTCTTCCTATCTCATTGTGCATCACTTGAGTGTGACTGTGCATATCATCAGGTTGTACATATCATGTCTACCAAGAGAAGGGGACTTTCTTCGAGCATGAAAATCAACCATGGCCGCCTTTATTGTCCAAGATGGGAGGAATTAGATCTTGTACAGACCTTCTTGAACAACTTGAACATATACAGGCGAAGCCACCAGATGCTACTCCAGAAGTTTCTGCAGTGATACTTGATGGCCCCATGATTGTGCAGATGCTTCATCCCAGAACATCCATAATGTTTCAAGTCGATATCCAGAATGTATTTGTGCCATACATGTTCCAGTATCTTGAACACCAGGACAGACTGGATATTCTTTGGGACACCTAAACGCACAGCCTTAAAGCATTCACCATAGAAAAAGGTGGCAAGGGTCTAAGAAGAATAGTCAAAGCATCATCACTTGTGCGAGGTAACTGAGAAAGCTTCTTCTCATTTAATGAGAACAAAGATGAGCATTTTGCACTGCATGCTGAACAGGTTCTTCAACATAATTTGAAGGAAAACAAATTTACAGCACCCTTGAGACAAAAGTTGTACCCTCTCCTGAAACAGCTGACAGAAGAGTTCATGAAGAAGCCCACACTTGCAATATCTGCTGCTTCACGTGGTGCGCTAAATAGGTGCTGATTAGTACTGCTTACACAGACGTTGTTGTCATGACGATAACAAACATTCAACAGATACCTTCAGAGTATGGATATCATTTGGCCTAGGCAAGCACAAAGGATATATAGCTGCACATTAAATTGGAACTACCCTCTTTCCATCAAAATAAAAGGCATTTTCAGTATTGCATGCCTTCACCAATTGCGCTGTAACTTCATGTTTTGGGGCCGGGATCGTGAAGAAAACTGCTTTGGATACTTGGAATGTATATCCTGAAGTCACCAAGCATTCCTGTCACTGGCAGATGCCCCAGCAGATACCTGTATTGTATTTTATCGGACAACGCAATGCAATTCCTTGAGCTGTTTGTCATTCTTTTATATGACAGAACTAGTGTGACTTGGAACGTCAGTCAGACAAAAGCCAGACAGACACAGGCAACCCTAAAACAACACACATTACAGGAAGGTCAGGTGCATCTCTGCCACGTCCTGCAGACTGGGGTTGGAAGTTGGCATGTGATACAACATGGATACCATAGTGGACAACGCTAGGTCAGGCACAAGAACAGTGTTATGAACTGACATACTGCACCTGTACGAAGTCTTGCACAGGCCTTTGTAAATGTTACAAAGCTGGTCCAAAGTGCACTGCTTTATGCAGTTGTGAACGAAAGTGTTTCCAGTGAGTGAGTTTAGTTTTACGCCGCACTCAGCAATATTCAAGCTTTATGGTGGCGGTTTGTAAATAATCAAGTCTGGACCAGACAATCCAGTGATCAACAACGTGAGCATCGGTCATGTATTATATTCTTCTGATGAAATTTACGCAATCACAGAGAAATAGTTTCTTTTCTTACAATCTGGAAAGTACGTTTTAAATAACCACCTTACTTTGTTTAAGATATGGCCAGGAATATCAGTACAATACATCTTTCTACAGTTTCAATATTCATGATCAGTCACTGGAAACAGACCCATGAAGGTCCGAGTTAGAATATTGATCTTCAGTAACCATGCTTGCCGTAAGAGGCGACTAACGGGATCGGGTGGTCAGGCTCGCTGACATGGTTGACATATGTCATCGGTTCCCAATTGCGCAGATCGATGCTCATGCTGTTGATGACTGGATTGTTAGGTCCAGACTCGATTATTTACAGACCGCCGCCATATAGCTGGAATATTGCGTGTGGCGTAGAACTAAACTCTCTTACTCACTAATAATACAACAGAATCGTTTACTTGCAAATAAGTACTGAAAGGTGTCTGCATTAAATTGTTCTAAACTTTGCATTTGTAAAATACTAACCGGAATACTTCTTACATTATAAAGCATAATACCAACTGATCATACACAAGAGTGCACAAATAAATACATTCATTTGTTGCTATTTAAAATGTCTTTTTCACAATATTAAATGTATCTAAATATCATCAACTTATCCAAAACTAAAAGGTAATAACTTACAAATAACAGCAGTATAACAAGGCAATTTCTGAATATTTTAGCGCCCATCTTGGATTTTCATCACCACCAGGTGGCGCTGTGTAATAAATTGGGAATATGTACATCACTGTTGCAATTAATCCTCTATGAAATACGAAATTTGAGAAGATAATTATGATATATTGAACATCGATTGCATTTTAGTCGAAATGGTGGCCATCTTGGATTTCCTGCCACCAGGGGCCACTGCTGAGGTGGATCCATATCCAGAAATGTTCGGAATAGTTCAATATATATGTGTGCCAAGTTTGATGCTTTTAACCCAAAGTGCACAAATTTTGCCTTAACCGCCCCACTATTATTTCCTTTTCAATATTAAAGCCCTAGTCTACCAACAGACCATCTCCCCCTTTATGTTTCCCACACTTAACCATTTCTCTGAGGAGGGACAGATAACCACTTTTTTCAGTAAATTCTTTGTCTGATATCGCCCCAGAAAACAGCATTGATATGAATGTAATTGAACCTCTTGGGTCCACACCAATGAGACCTTTCAGGGTAGTACTTGATTTGTAATCTGAATATGCTTGACTTTGCCTTGTCAGTGAAGAGGGTCGCTGAATTTTTATTTCTGTTCCATCAATGATATTAAAGTGTGTGGAAATTCCTGGCGAAATTTTGGAGGCATATATTGCTGCAAAACATCACGGTGAGGCCAAATTGACACAGATCCAAACCTGTAATATAAGTAATTTATCCAATTTGAAAACGCAATACTGCAATCTTGGGGTGATATCAGAAACAGTTGCAGAGGACCTGTAAAAGCAATTACAACTGTTTCAAGCAATAATACATTCTACAGAGAAGAAATGATCTGGCTAGTTTAGGGCACCAAACTCATTATTAGGCCTGAAACAGACTAACCTATTATCAATCTGACTTGTTGTAATGTTTAAAAAATGCTTTGCACACAAAAGAATAAGGTAAGAATGAACACATAACACCCACAACATACTTGTTTCAATTTGAGATTTAAGAAATACAACAGCCTTAATATCTCCCTTGTATACAACTAAGTGTGAATAAACAGGCTTCTTCTCTTTACAGGCACCCCTAATTAGACCAATAGTGGTTCCAAAGATGGAGGACAGGTGCGGAGATGTCACATTTCGAAAAGATGACAACTTACCCGAACTGGATTCAACTGCAACTTTAAAACATCAATGGAAAGATTTAGAACTTTCAGTTGACGAGTCCCATAATTTAGAAAAAAATACAAGATCTCAAACCAAGTCTGATTTGTGGTACAACGCGAGGAAAGGGCGAATTACTGCTTCAAACTTTGGTCTGATTTTGACTCGCGAAAAACAAATCAATGACACATTAATCAGTTATCAGAAACACCTTTGACAAAAAGAAATTTCCAACAACTTATGGGACTTCTAATGAGAAAATAGCTAAACAAATGTACATGAAAAAATCAAAATCATCTTCATGACATTGGCTTTGTTGTAAACCCATCTATTCCATTTATAGGAGCCACCCTGATGCTATAGTGTGTGACACTTCTGTTTCTGGTATTGTGGAAATTAAGTGTCCTTATGCTGTAAGGGACGTGGCCATTAATGAAGCCGCCTGTATGACTGGTTTCCTTTTTAAAAAAGAAGGAAAATATTACAACTTGAAGAGAGGTGATAGGCATTGGTATCAGGTACAGGGCCAGCTACTTGTAACTAGGGCACATTTTGTGACTTTGTAACCTACACCAGACAAGACTTTAACATTGACCGGATATATCCAGATAGGAATACCTTCAGGACTCTGCTTGAAACTCTGTCGCAAACATATGTCAATCACTTCAAACCATACTTTGCAAGGAAACAATCTACGTAGATTATACATGGTCACATCTACGTAGATCATACTATCTCACATCTGCGTAGATCATAGGCTCACATCTACGTAGATCATACTGGTCACATCTAAAGATCATACTGTAACATCTACGTAGATCATATTATCTCACATCTACGTAGATCATTACTGCTCACATCTACGTAGATCATACCATCTACGTAGATCATACTGCTCACATCTACGTAGATCATACTGACTCACATCTACGTAGATTATACTTTTCACATATATCATGTGATTTATTGCTGCTACACATCTACGTAGATCATACTGCTCACATCTACGTAGATCATGCTGCTCACATCTACGTAGATCATACTGCTCACATCTACGTAGATCATACTGGTCACATCTACGTAGATCATGCTGAAAACACTCACATCTACGTAGATCATACTGCTCACATCTACGTAGATCATACTGCTCACATCTACGTAGATCATACTGCTCACATCTACGTAGATCATACTGCTCACATCTACGTAGATCATACTGCTCACATCTACGTAGATCATACTGCTCACATCTACGTAGATCATACTGCTCACATCTACGTAGATCATACTGCTCACATCTACGTAGATCATACTGCTCACATCTACGTAGATCATACTGCTCACATCTACGTAGATCATACTGCTCACATCT